GACTAAGTCTTGCCCTTGTCTCACAGGCTAGAGTGCAATCTCAGTTCACTGCAACCTCCGCCTCCCATGTTCAAGCAATTCTCCTGTCTCAGCCTCCTGTGTAGCTGTGATTACAGGTGCCTGTCACCACGCCCGGCTAATTTTTGTGTTTTTAGTAGAGACAGGGTTTCACCATGTTGGCCCCGCTGGTCTCGAACACCTAACCTTTGGCGATCCACCTGCCTCTGCCAACTAAAGTGCTGGGATTACAGGCGTGAGCCACCGCGCCCAGTGTAATTTTCGTATTTTTAGTAAAGATGGGGTTTCATCATGTTGGCCAGGCTGGTCTCAAACTCCTGACCTCAAGTGATCCACGCTACACGGCCTTCTAAAGTTCTGGGATTATAGGCATGAGCCACCATGCCCCGCTGGAAAGACTTTTTTAAGGTGCTTGATGCAAAAACTTCAATAATCAGTTACATAATTCCTTTCTTTCTTTCTTTTTTTTTTGAGACAGAGTCTTGCTCTTTTGCCAGGCTGGAGCACAGTGGAGCACACTGCAACCTCCGCCTCCCGGGTTCAAGCACTTCTTCTGCCTCTGCCTCCCTTGTAGCTGGGACTACAGGCGCGTGCCACACACCCCGCTAAATTTTGTATTTTTAGTAGAGACCGGGTTTCACGTGTTAGCCAAGATGGTCTCAATCTCTTGACCTCGTGATCCACCCGCCACGGCCTCCCAAAGTGCTAGGATTACAGGTGTGAGCCACTGCTCCCGGCACATAATTTCTTAATTTTTACCTTGAGGGTAAAATTTTCCCAGTTTCATAGTGAGAACTTAATTGGCAATTTATAGTTGGTTAAGCCTAAATTTTGTTTCCCCCAATATAGTAATTTACCCAAAAAAAAAGCATTTCAGTTGTAATTTTTTTTAAATAGGAATTCAGGGACTGGAGCGACCTCAGTCCTATTGTCTGCCACTTAAATATTTTCAGACTCCACAGGGGACTGATGTTTTCTTGCATTTTTCACAAGTGTCCCAAGCAGCTTCTCAAATCTCCCTCTAACTCTGGTTTGCAATAAAATACTAAATTTTCAGCTGCTTCTGACAATCCCAAATGTCAACTTCCTCTCCATAATTCACATTATTAACTATTTGTCCTTTAGTGTACATTTTCCATACCATATTTTAATTAATCATTTTTTGACAAAGCTTTGGATATCATATCTAAAGAGACTTGTTTCCGTTTGTAAATATCTCCTGTGAGGAGAAAGCAAAGAATAATCCCCTGTTACTGTATTCTTAAAAAAAAAAAAAAAAACTGCAGGGCGTGGTGGCTAACGCCTGTAATCCAAGCACTTTGGAGACCAAGGCGGGCGGATCACCTGAGGTCCGGAGTTCAAGACCAGCCTGACCAACATGGTGAAACCCTGTCTTTATTAAAAAAAAAAAAAAACCACTTCATGCCTCTTTTTCTTTTATTTTCCCTAGGCACAGAGATCTTATAAGAATGTTTTGGGGTCAAGTTTTGTTTTGTTTTGTTTTGTCTTGTTTTGTTTGGAAGCTTTATTGGGTGATGTGTCCTCAGGCACCCTTTAGTTTTTTCCAGTTCTGGGTTTCAGTACTGTCTGAATAAACCAGTATGCCCGCCATGACTGTGTCTGCTAGAGTGTCTAGTGAAGATCAGCTCCTGGGTCATTTTCTCCCATAAGACAATCTGAGATACAGAGTGTAGCCTTTCAAGGGAGCAGTAAGTTGAATGCTTGGGGCTGAGAGGAATCTCCTGGTATATATACTCTTCCTTTGAAAAGCTAACCCCTTGAGACATTAAGATTGTCTTCACTCTGTGGGTGTGGTGGCTCATGCCTGTAATCCCAGCACTTTGGGAGGCCTAGGTGGGCAGGTCACCCGAGGTCAGGAGTTTGAGACCAGCCTGGCTAACGTGGTGAAACCCTGTCTCTATGAAAAATCGAAAAATTAGCCAGGCATGGTGGCACATGCTTGCAATCCTAGCTACTCTGGAGGCTGAGGCAGGAGAATTGCTTGAACTCTGAAGGCGGAGGTTGCAGTGAGCCAAGACTGCACCATTGCCCTCCAGCCTTGGCAACAAGAGCGAAAACTCCGTCTCAAAAAGAAAGAAATAAATAACAAAAAAGATTGTCTTCACTCAACTCAGTTTCCATTTCTTGAAGATACATTGCTGGTCAGCCAATCAGATGCTGGTGTCGAGGGGAAAACACAATTTCTGCACCCTGGATACTTTAAGATTTGTGGGAAAAAAAACAGTATCACAAAAAATAAAAACCTGACCCCGGTGAGATTGTGCAAGAACTTGCAAAGTGAAACGTACTTGGGGCACTCGCTGGGACATAGTGCAGAGTCTCCTGAGAAGGTGGTCATTGGGCACTTAAGTGAGCAGGATGGGGTGGGAGAATTTCTCAAGTGATTGGATAGCCTGACTTGACATATGAGTGAGGCACATCTGTTTTCTAATCAGCACTGCCACCCCCTAGGTCTGTCATCTTGAAAAGATTTGTTCACTTATGTTAATATCAGGTTTTGTTTGTTTGTTTGTTTGTTTTGAGACAGAGTCTCACTCTCTCGCCAGGTGCCAGGCTGGAGTGCAGTGTCACAATCTCGGCTCACTGCAACCTCCGGCTTCCGCGTTCAAGCAATTCTGCCTCAGCCTCCCGAGTAGCTGGGACTACAGGCGCACTCCACCACACCCAGCTAATCGTTGTATTTTTAGCAGAGACAGGGTTTCACCATGTTGGCCAGGATGGTCTCGATCTCTTGACCTTGTGATCTACCCTCCTCAGCCTCCCAAAGTGCTGGGATTACAGGCTTGAGCCAAATATCAGTTTTTTAACTGTAAATTGCATTTTATTGGTAGAGCTTGAAAGGTAAAGTATTTACAAGGGCATAAAGAAGATGAGTTTCAAAAGAATCTAATAATATATTTCTTTGGTTAAAAATTATCATTTACCTATTTCGTTTTTTCTTTCTTTTTTTAAATTTATATATATATATATATATATTTTTTTTTTTTTTTTTTTTTTTTTT